TTCCTACTTACCGTAATTTTCTTTTCCTGGTCATAGGCCATTGCAGCACAACGATGGGTAGCACCTCCCTATCCCTAACCAGACAGGAACCTAATTAAAACAGAAGGTATAAGTAACCCGTCCTACCCCTCCCACCCTCAGTCTTGTTTCCAGAAATATCCCAGGGTGAGATCTTTGTGCTGCCATGGCCTATGACCAGGAAAAGAAAATTACGGTAAGTAGGAATACATTTTCCTTTTTCCTGGCCATATCCATGGCAGCACAACAATGGCTAATACCCAAGCAATAACCAAGGGAGGGAAAGAAGTACACAAGACTTCCAAAATATGAATGCAAATTAACAAACACACACACCTCAAAAGGACATTGGAAATGAAAAACTGATTGCCCACTATTGGCACATTATCAAATTGACCAACTGAAATGTACCAAAAAAAAAAAATCTGAAAATTGATTGAGTACCAAGCAGCCATTTACCTACAAGTTCCAGGGAAACTTGGCCACGGATGCTCAAGAGGGAGAAATGGCGCTAGAGCAAACAGACCTTTAAGTACTGTAATCCCTTGGGCTTAGTAGCCTAAAAAACAGCCAAAACTATCCATCTGCTGGTGGCTTATATAGAGCCTTGAAGATCTTTATGGTCTATTAGTAAAGATAAACAGACTATCAGAAGAAATCCAGAAAGCGGGTCTATAAAAATAGATTTTAAGGCATCTATTTAGGAAAGGAGGAGAAAGTTTTATTACGACTCTACATTCTATGCAAAATAGTGCTTGAGGATCTAATATCCTTCAGTCCATGCCAATGTCACCGATAGAGCAAACTTAATATTAAGCAATTGTGGAGAGATATACTCTCATGGTTAACTTGACTCACAGTTGCAGATATGGGATCCACGTGTTGTTCCATGCACCAACTATTCCATGAGTTCCAGGCATGTAGGTATGACCTCCTTGTTCCTGGGGCCCAAGCCCCCACCAAAAGGTCCAGAATTGTTTGTGGAACATTTGAGATGTCGCAGAGTCCCCTGAGAGGAGCCATGCCAAGAGCTTGAGATGTCCCTGAAGTATGAAGGGTTGTGAGTTCCCGTTGGGGTCCAGTACAAGGTTGGTGGTTACCGGTAGTAACCTCGGGAGTGTAGGGAACCAGGGCTGAGATGCCCAGAAGGGGGATATGAGGATCAAGGAGGTTCGATGATGTCCGAGGTGCAGCAGAGTCCGTGCGATGAGAAAGAAAGGAGGGAAGGCATAGTGGCAGGTATTCGGCCATGGTTGGAGGAAAGCGTTTGTCGCTAGAGCCTCTGGATCCGGTCTCCAGCTGAAAAACTTTGGCAACTGTGTGTTCAAGCGTGATGCGAACAGGTCAATGTCCAAAAGTCCCCAAAGTGACTGTAAATGGCTGAAGGTGGCTGGGTTCAGTCGCCAGTCGCTGGTATCTCGTAGGTGTCTGGAATTCCAGTCTTCCACTACGTTGGTCATCCCCGGAATGTATTCCCCTTGTACTGAAATGTTGCGATCCAGACAGAACTGCCAGAAATCCTTCACTAGTTCCGCTAGTATTGTTGACTTCATGCTCCCGAGGTGGTTGATATAGCGGACTGCTGATATATTGTCCATGCGTAACAGAATGGAGCAGTTGATCGATATACTTAAAAGACTCCGTAGGGCAAACGATCCTGCCAGAAGTTCGAGGCAGTTGATACGAAGTCCCTGTTCCTCTAGGGACCATTTTCCTCCGGTCGAGATAGATCCGCAGCGCACACCCCAGCCGAGCATACTTGCATCGGATTCCACTATGATGTCCGGAGTTGTTCCGAAGATTGCTTGGCCGTTCCAGGCTTCCATGTGTTGTGGCCACCACCTGAGTTCTTCTTTGGCGGTGCAGTCGAGAGGAACAGAGTCTGAGTACGAGTGCCCCAAACAACGGTATTTTGTCTTCAGTCGTTGAAGTGCTCTGTAGTGCAGAGGTCCGGGAAATCTGGCTTGGATTGATGCTGAGAGAAGGCCGACAATCCTGGCCAGTTGTTTCAAGGTAAGAACAGGATGTGCTAACATCCACCTGATTTCCTTTTTGATGGATTTGACTTTGGTTTTTGGGAGTAGGAGTGCTCCGCTCACAGCATCTATGGTGAATCCTAAGAATTCTATTGATTGAGAGGGTTTGGTGACCGACTTCTCCCAATTGATTAGAAAACCCAGGTTTTCTAGCAGAGTCCTTGTCCAAGAAAAATGTTCGTGGAGCAGATGAGGGTCCTGCGCCATTATGAGGATATCGTCCAAGTATATTATGAGTCGAACTCCTCTGCTGCGTAGGAGGGCGACTACTGGTTTCATGAGCTTTGTGAAGCACCAGGGTGACGATGAGAGGCCGAACAGTAGGCATTTGAATTGCCACACGGTCTCCTCCCATTGGAATTGAAGGAATCTTTGGCAGTGTTCGGCCATGGGATCCGTGAGGTACGTGTCCTTCGAGTCAAGCTTGACCATCCAGTCCCCTGTAAGCAGGAGGTCTCGGAGGGAGTGTATACCTTCCATCTTGAAGTAGTGGTATGTGACAAACATGTTTAAAGGTCGTAAATTGATGACTGGACGAACGCCTCCGCCTTTTTTGGGGACCAGGAAGAGGTTGCTTAGGAAACCTGGAGTGAGAGGGTGGATTGCAGAAATTGCACCCTTGGAGGCTAAGGCCTGGACTTCCTGTGATATCAAATATTGCTCATGAGTGGGGAACACCATGTGGTTGGGGGCTTCATTTGAACAGGGTATTGCACAAAATCTATAGAGTAACCCTGGACAGTGTGGAGGACCCAGGCATCTGCAGTGAGCATGCGCCATGCACTGACAAAGTGACACAGTCTGCCCCCCACCATTGTTAATGAAGACAGGTGAAGAGGTATTGAACTTACCATAAGGTCATCGGCCATATGAAGAACCTCTGGGTCCCCGAGACTGCCATGGTCTGCCCCGAACTGGGAAGAAAGGTGAGGTATGTTTGGGCTCTCGTTAGCCACTGCTTATATTGTAGTTACAGTACCTTCTGGGCATTACGAGGTTAATAAAGCTTATCTGCTCCTATATTCATTTTTGCCCTAAGATACTTTTGGACTTATTAGAGATACTAGAGTTTTCACTGCTTATACTTTATATACTTTTCAAGAATTTCTAAGCAATATTGTAATTATGGTGTATATATCTTCCATACCAGTAATTTGGAGGACCTCCTAGGGGGTCATTTCTCCTATTTAGTTCATTTTCTATACATAATATTCGGGTACAAGCCCATATTTAGGTGGAGCTGGTACCACTATCCTGACCTATTTTCCTGATCCCCTTCCAATCTTTTGGTTGGTTGGCGAGATAGGAAAATTATTTTGCTTCTTTTTCTTAGTTAAGTACAATTTAACCTGTTCTCTTTCATGAGGATGTTAATCCTTCTCTGTTCTATGGGCGTGGCAGGAAGGTTGGTATTGCTGCTTTAGTCACTTGTGGCGGCCCATCGTTGGGTCCGGAAGTCTCCTGCCCTTTGTGTGTTGGTGTCAGCTTTGATTTGCGCATGTGCCATGCGTTTGTAGGCCCAGTGTACTGTTATTTGTTGCAGTAGTTCCTCCTTTGAGGGTGCATTTTTTTTTCCCACCGTCTAGCGATCAACGTGTTAGCTGCTATCAAGATGTGGAATATGAGTTTGTGTTCTGTTCGCGGTATAGCTTTCTGTCCCATAAATAGTAGGCACACGTCCAGTGTCAGAGGCAAGGTTCGTGTATTTTGATAGAAGAGACATCTTAAAGGCTGCCAGTCTGCCATTCCAGGAGAGGAATTTGTCTTTCCAGTTCTGGAAGGCATTTTTTAATTTGGTCAGTAAGTTCTCGTAGTTATGCAATAACTACCAAAAGCATACCGCTTTTGGTGCGCCGGATTCCTAAAAAGGTGAAATAGCCGGTCCTCCAGTCAAAGGGGAAGTTTGATTTTAGTGTCTTAGTTTTGGGGTCGTCTATGGCTATGCCAAGTGCTTGTGTCTTTGCTACATTCAATTTGTAGTATGAGTGTTTTCCGTAGTCCTCTATCTGTTTTAGTAGGTTTGGGAGGGAATGAGTGGTTGAGTGAGTGTGAGTAGGACATCGTCGGCAAATAGGTTTGCCTTGTATTCTTTGTTGCGTATGTCTACGCCATGGATCAAGGGGTCTGCTCAGATTTTGGCCACCAGGGGTTCTAGCGCTAGAACATATAGGAGCAGTGAAAGTGGGCAGCCCTGACGGGTTCCATTTGTAATACGAAACGGGTTGGATAGGAAGCCCGCGTTGAGTACCTGTGCCACGGGGTCAGCATAAAGCGCTCTGACCGCCGAGATAAAGGTCCCCGGAGCACCGATCTTTCTCATAACCGCCTGCAGGAACCCCCAGCTCAGACGATCGAAGTCTTTCTCCACGTCCAGTGATAGCAACAAACCCCTTCTGTTGGTGTCGCGTAAAACGTGTAGGATATCAAGTACCTTAAGGGTCTGAGCCTTTCCTCCCTTTTATGAACCCAACCTGGTCATTGTGTATGATATCGGGTAGTATGGGTCCTAGTCTGGTGGCAAATATATTTGCAAATACTTTGGCGTCTGTGTTTTGGAGGGGAATCGGTCTAAAATTCTGCGGGCTTGTGGGCGGTTTGCCTGGCTTCAGTAGTGTGATTATATGTGCTAACAGGATCTCAGGTGGGAGTGAGTGTGAGGTTGTGGCATCATTAAAGAGCTTACTCAGCTGTGGGGCTAAGTCGTCTCAAAATGTTTTGTATTAGGAATTAGCAAAGTCATCTGAACCAGGCGATTTGCCTGTGGGTACTAGTTGGATAGTATGTTTGACCTCTGTTACAGGCGCTGCTAGGTCAGATTGGTGTTGGTGGGATAATTGCGGTAGTTGTAGGGTGTCTAAGTAATGTGTTATGTCTTCTTGTGTGGGCTGATGGATGTTCGGGTCTCGATGTAGGTTATATAGTTCCGAGTAGTATGCTGAGAACTCGTCACTTATGTCTTTTGGGGACATGAGCTTGTGGCCTGTCCGTGATGTTAAGTGCATGATAGTTTGGTTGGTTTGTTATTGTTTGAGTCTGTTGGCTAGGAGTTTCCCCGCTTTGTTCATTTGTTAGTATTGTGTGACTTTCATCTTTCGTAGACCAGTCCTTAACATCAGCCAGTTTGGATTCATAGCTTTCCATCTGAGCTCTCAGCTCTCTCACTTCAGAAGTCAGAGCGTTGTGGGTTTCCGCGTGATCCGCCATCTTGTTTTCCAGCATGGAGGTGTGGGTGCCCAGCTCCTGAATGTCTCCGCAGAGGTCACAGAAAGACTGCTGGAGATTGTTTTGCAGTTTAGCTGCCATCGCGTCCAGCATGTTTTGCAGCGTTTCACTGGTGAGTGGCGTGTTTGGAGAGGGAGGCCTCTGGCATGGGATTGGCACTCCTCATTATTGCAATCGCTGGCATGGGATTGGCAGGGACTGGGTAAATCCCCTGGATGGCAGGGACGTTCAATGCCACACTGCGGCATTTAGGACTGTTCCCGCCAGGACGGCAAAGAACACCCCATCCTTAAAGGGTTAATATATTCAGTAGTAGTGCCAGTTGTGATAGGAGCACACTTGGAGCTGAGCCTCCCAAGTTGGGGGAGTAGCTTCAACAGATTCTAGGTTAGACATCTGAAATCGTTGTCCAGAAGAGTGCAGTTGCTGGAACAACTAAGATACTGCGCAGAACCCTTAGACTTCCAGGCCTCCGGTAAAGGTCCCGAGAATGAGGAATAAATAGAACACGCAGGAGGGGTGAAAAAAATCTATGTTTTTTATATATAAATAATATATCAGTACTTGGGGGACTGCCTGACAACCCAGGCAGTCCCCTTGCAAGCAATTCTTTAGACTACTATTGTAGCCATGTGATTGCAATATCATCTCTACCACATGTCCCTAAAGGACTATGTTTGCAGCAGGGGGAATGTCAGGCAGTCACCTGAAGCGAATTGCCGGGTAGGTGATTATTCTGAGGCTGAGGGGCTGCAAACAGTTATGGCATAAAAAAGGGCAGAACAGTAATGTGATCACGTCACTGGTTCTGCCCAAAGAGGGGTAAAAGGTTTCACCCTTTTACCTGTAGGCCAGCCTGGCATAAATATACTCTAGTCTGCCTGTCAATTGCACAGATTGACCCACTGAGGGCAGGCCTCTTAGGAAAAGTGGGAGATTTCAAAGTAGGCAATGGTGCATTGTTGACAATTAATAACCAGTAATGTAGCCAGGTGTTTTGATCCACTGTTAATAATTATGCCTTTATATCGAAATTATCTCAACCAGTACATGCACAACACATTATTATATGAGAATTATTATATAAGGTGGATAAATGTACTAATTTGTGTGTTTTATTTTTATGCAGGGATCAGAATGGGAAAAATACCTGTTTAAAAAACAAGTTGGAAAAAAGTAATTTTTTAAGAAACAAAAATAAAGATTTATACAAACACCTAACAAAAGTAAACCCCATGGTAAGTATTACATTTTTTGCTGGGATTTAACAATGTGTAGCACTAAAATTGCAGTACGGTAATTCTTTTAACTTGCCTAAAGGCGGCAAAAATCCTTGCACCAGCCCTGCTTGTGTATTCACAGTTAAAATGTCATGCAGAACTAAAAATTTTTTTAAAAATTCTTAATTTCTTATTTTTTTATATTTTATTCATATTAAATTATGTTTCATAGCTAAATATTTGATGTTCAATGAAAGACCCATTTCTTCAGAATAAAATGATATATAATAAGTGTGGGTGCACTTAATATGAAAGAGGTGAATTACGGTTGAACAGACATATAGTCAAATTCCAAGTTTTGTTTACATTTTATTTTGATCAAAACGTGTACATTTGGCTCAGTCCGTAAGGGGTTAATAGAATACAGAGTTTAGTATAAATAAAAAATTAAAGGTGCACTATAGTCAAACTATAAAGGAAAAAAGATAGGTTCCCTATCCTTCTTTCTTGCTTTTATATTAGTTTGTCATTAAAAAAAATCAGTTTGAGTGCTTTTTAATAATTAAAACTTACCTCTGTTCCAGCGTTGAGATCCTCGACAAGCCACACACCCTTTTTCATCAAAATGACAAAGTAGTAAGGATCAATCAGATGCTTCTCTTAGAGAAGCGTCACAGTTGTCTGGTGTGCATGCGCGGCTTCATGCTTCACCAATCGCGTTCTTCATAGAGCCGCATTGAATGCCACTCTATGAATGAACTGAGCACTCAGCTCGCTGTCTATGCCCACACCATGCCTACCGCTACCCTAGAGCCTAAAGTTTGTATACAAACACTATATTTATATTTAGTGTTTGCATAAAAACACACAAGTTGTAAATAAATATTGTAAACATACTCACACACACACACACTCTATCTATCTATTACAATCTATCTCTATTTCCATCTATCTATTTCCATCTATCTATTTCCATCTATCTATTTCCATCTATTTCCATCTCTATTACTATCTATCTATGTCTATTTCTACCTATCTATGTCTATCTATTACTATATATCTATCTATCCATCTATTACTGTCTATATCTATCTGTTTCTATCTGTTTCTATCTGTTTCTATCTGTTTCTATCTGACTATCTAACTCACACTCACAGTCTCTCACGCTCTCTCATTCACTCTCTCACACACTCACTCACACTCACTTTTACTCACTCTCACTCACTGTCACTCACTCACTTTTACTCACTCTCACTCATTCTCTCTCACTTTTACTCACTCACTCACACACACACACTCACTCACTCACTCTTAAACTCCCTCTCACATTTACTCACTCTCTCTCACACTTTCTTACTTTTACTCACACACACCCACTCTCTCTCTCACTTTTACTCACACTCCCTCCCTCCCTCCCTCCCTCCCTCAGTTTTACTCACTCTCACATGCTCTCACTCACACTTTGACTCACTCCCTCTCACTCAATCTCTCTTATGTTTATTCAATCTTACTCACTCTCTCTCACACTCACTCACTCTCTCTCACATTTACTCACTCTCACACTCTCACTCACACACACTCTCTCACTTTTACTCACTCTCACTCACTTTTACTCACTCATGTTTACTCACTCTCACTCACTTCCACTTACATTTACTCATTCTCACTCACCCTCTCATTTATTCTCTCACTCTCACAATCTCACTCACACTCTCACTCACTAACTCTCACTCACCCTTTTACTCACTAATTATCTCACTAACTCTCACTCTCAAACTCACTCACTCACCAACCCTCGCTCACTAAATCACTCACTGACTCACTCTCTTGTTCACTCACTAACTCTCTCGCTCACTCTCACTCACTAATTCACTCACTCTCACTCACTTACTCACTCACACTCTCACTTACTCTCACTCACTTTTACTCTCTCTCACTTACTCTCTCACTCAACTCACTTTCACTCTCTCACTATCTCACTTTCAGTTACTCACTCTCTCACTCACTTTCACTCACTCACACTCTCACTCACTTTAACTCTCACTTTTTATTTCTTTCACTCACTTTCACTCCTTTCACTCACTCACTTTCACTCTCTCACTATCTCACTTTCAGTTACTCACTCACTCTCTCACTCACACACTTTCACTCACTTTCACACTCACTCACCCACTTACTCACGCACTCTCTCACTCACTTTTACTCTCACTCCCACTCACATTCACTCTCTCACTCACTCTAAGTCACTCACTCTAAGTCACTCACTCTCACTCAATCACTTTCACTCTCTCTAACACTCACTTTTACTCACACACTCACTCTCACTCATTTTTAAAATAAGTGTACTTACGGTCTGGGTCCCCCTGCTGTGTCTCCTGCCTTCTGCCTTCAGCCTGGCAGCCTGTCAGCCTGAGCCCATGATGTGTTCAGATCTTTATCTCCCACACTGTCGGCGCTGACTGCTGACAGCCGCTGGGGTTACTACAGGACACAGGAGGCATGTTCACGGTTCACTTGTGTCCTGATAGCACGTTTGATGTCTTCAGCTAAGCATCAGTCAAACGTGAGTCCTGCGCATCAGGCAAGACTTGACTCGAAAGTCCCTCTGATGGCCGTGTGAGTGACTGCCACTGGGGGTGTTCCTAGATTCTAAGGTAAACACTGTATTTTCTTTGAAAATACAGTGTTTACTTGAAAAGGCCTGCAGGAAGCTATTGTACTCACCTGAACAACCCCATTAAGCTGAAGTTGTTCAGGTGACTATAGTGTCCCTTTAAGTAAAAGTTTCAATTTTAATAATTTTGTTTTAGTATTGTAAGTTTGTTTAATTTTTTTTTCTTTTGTCTTTCAGGATGGAAATTCTGGGTGTGAAAATATAGTTTTTAAGAAGATTGATTATTTTCTGATCAAACTAAAACGCTTTCTAATAATCATTTGTAAAAAAAAAAACACACAGAAAGAAGTTCGGCGTTTAACCACTTAGCCCATTAAGGATGGGAGGCAATTGTACAAATTCTGACCAAAACAAAACCTAGAATTCAAGCTATATGTTTGTTAAACCATAATTGACCTCTTTCACATTAAGTGCATCCACGTTTATTATATATCATTTTGTTAAGAAGAAATAGGGCTTTGATTTCACATCAAACATTTATATATTAGAAATAATTTAATATGAACAGAATCTAAAAAAAAAAGTGTGTGAAATTAAGAAATGCTAATTGTTGTTAAGGTCTGCATGGCATTTTAAATGTGAATGTCATAATATTAACTTTTACTGCAATAAAATTAGCATGTTTCCATGCTGTGATGCCCCACAAGTACAACACCCACTATGTACAGGTTTTATGATGTTTTGGAAAGTTACAAGGTCAAATGTATGGTTTGTTCATTCCAGTTTTTACACATTGAAATTTGCCAGATTGATTTACTGGGCCTATGTTGCATATGAGAACATATAACAGCCCAGGAATGAGAATAACCCTTGTTATGGCATACCATTTGCAAACCAGTGTTAATTTTGTCGATTAACAATTTTAGTAAAATTTGAAATTAAGTTGACTAAAACTAGACTAAAATTAAAACAATTCAGATGACTAAAATACGAGTAAAACTAAAATGTATTTTAGCCAAAAGACTATGACTAAAACTAAATAGAAATTTGCCACCAAAATTAACACTGAACAGAGGGGCTGTGGTAGGGGCTAAAGAGACAGACCAGGACTTGGGAGAGAGACACCTAGAGGGGTTGGGAGGACACAAAGATACACATAGGGGCTGGGGAATGGACAAAAGAGATAGATAGAGGGGGGGCGGGGCCTGACGGCCGAGCTGCATGGCTGCATGAACCGTGTGCTCCGAGCAAGAACTCTCTAAAAGCTAATAAATTTATATCTCTCCCCTGGCAACTACGTTGATTCAACACAGTAGAGTGCAGGTGACAACCTGGATCTCAACACTGGAGGATTTGGAGCCCAGTCGGACAAGCTGCACCCGACAGTGAAATTGCGGCCTAAAGTTGGAGGTGAGCGTGGGAGAAGCGGCCGATCTCCCTGCTACCAGACCATCTGGAAAATGCCAAAACTGGTGGAAACCCTGTTCCCCCCCCCAGCCGGTGGGGGTCATCCCGGCACATATCAGTCACCAGCGGAACCAAGACATCCATCAGCCCCTGATGCAAGCACACAGCAGTGTACACGGGGCCAAGATGGCGTGTGCTGATCCTGCTGCAGAGACACACTACTAAAGCCACTCGAACAGCGACTGGACGACCTCTTCCGCAAATTCTGGCAGAAGCTGCAGAGCAGAAAGGACCAAGCCTTAATGGAGCAACAGGGACAAGCAGAGCAAAGACACCTACCTCCTGTCAAATTGCACCGAGCGTCTGACAACCGACGGAGACTACTGACAGCGCCTGAGTGTGCGAGGCCAGCAAGAAAAAAGCCACGTCCTGCAAAACCCAAAGCCCGCTGCCACCTTCCTGGGCTGAGGAGCCGAAGGGGTAACACCCAGTTGCCTAACCCACTTACCTGGAAGGTACTATCCGCCGCCAAGACCTCCCAGGATCTCGCTTGCAGCGCGGAGAGCAGCTGGAGCGGAGGGACATGCACATGGGCTCCCGTGGAGGCCTGGGGCCGGCAGAGCGACCAAATTTGGACTACCGGGACACTACCTCTATCCTCCATCATGCTGGTCAGCAAGGGTATAGGGTAACGGCATGGTGCACCAGGGCGGGAGGGACACGCTCACAGTGTAACCAACTATAACTGCTCCCCCTTAAGCCATTTGGTTTGCCTAATACAACTCCCTATCCTTCTATCTGCCTAACAGGTTTATTATTGCTGCCAGAAGGAATTAACCTTCCTATGCAATCTATGTCCCCTATGTTTCTAATTGCTTACTGCCTCTCCATGCCAGGACCTAGACAGACCTCCTTACTAATTGACAGGGCTGTGTCGCCTCACACTAGTAAACTAGTTAAACAACCTATTATTGTCAAGAGGGCAACCTATTACTGTCAAGAGGGCAGACTATACATGCTAATCATCAGCCATTCATTAAACACATTAATTTTTTCTAAGCCATATGTCCGCTAGTTTAGCCTGTTTAACTTCATACCTTTTAATGAAGATCCACGGACACAGCAAACTACACTTGTTTATACTACCTGTACCTTAAAAATATGCCATATATGTAATTTACTATGTTATAAATGCGCTTACACATGCTGTTGTGGCATCGTAAGATGTTTTGTTCCAACCTAACGGGGTTATACATTCACACGTATACTGCAGCTGTCTAACCTAATGTTCTTTAGACATTTCTCGCACTAGCTGGACTTTTTAACCATGCCTCATACCGCAAAAACTGCCCTCTACACCCTGGCTAAAAGTAACGTGACAACATATGATATGCCGTTGGTTTGCAAAGTTTTCTCTTTTTTGGCAATGACGTCTTGTGTGTGTTTCCTGCACCCGCATCTGTATAACTTCCCTAGCTGGTCCTATTTAATGTGGTACTCCAAGCTGGTTTCAAACTGGCGGTAAAACTGTTGATTTATCTCTACACTTAAATACGTGCAAGCATAAAAGCTCCTAACCTCACCAATGTACAGCTTTACACCTATAACCTTAAGCGCAACTGGTTTGGCTATGAGCATATTTAGTTTAGCATGTTACACTACACAATATTGTTGTCTACTAGCCTGTATTTGACTAAGCTTGTTATTAATAGTGGCATTCAATATAAGTGCCTAAGACATGCACTCGCTATAACTAACCTCATTCTAGTATCATTTATAGGCACTGTACAGTTTTCATCATTGTTTTCCCATGTTATTAAAAAACAAAAAGTGCTGAACTGTGGCCATTTTACGATAATCTTGCTCTCAGCCTCAATGTATATTTTCGTTTAAAAATGTCACTGTGAGCTTGTTAACTAAACTATGCACGGCAAAAATAAAGAATTTTAAAAAAAAAGATAGATAGATAGAAAGGCTTTAACTTAACCCATTCGATTTTAGTTGTGTTGACTAAAATCTACTGGAGATTTAGTTGATTAAAACTAAAACAATGCAGATGACTAAAACACAACTAAAACTGAAATGGCTTTTTAGTCAAAAGACCATGACTAAAACTAAATTGAAATTTACCGCCAAAATTAACAATGTTGCAAAAGATGGTTTTATGAGACCTATTCTGCTGCTTTAGAAAAACCAAATCTCTTTAATGAGTCTAACATAGATTCTGATGCTGTAATTAATTTCAAATTTGTTAGCTACTGTTGTATACTGGAAGCAGTTGGGCATTTTGCAGAGGGCAGCTGTTAGGGATTTGATAGTGGAAAAAGATTAGATTTCTTATTATTGGAAATTGGGGTCGGATGGCAGTGTAACACATTTTCAGCTTGGAATGGTGGAATATTCCTAAAAACTTAATTGAGATAACTTTGATTCATTGCCAATATTGGACGATGATAGGGGAATCCCACCAAAAACACATCAGCATGCCCTCCAGCACAGGAGACAAATAATGAAGGGTGCTCTTGCAATGTTCTTACCCTTCGAAGATGGTACTGCTGCCTGTAAACTTTCCCGACCAACTACACGAACCACGCATTTGCTACCTAAGAGCCAGGGGAGGCGTTCGTCGGTGTAAAAGAGTAAAGTATTTTAGCAGATTTCACCTATTTATGATGCTGCCCGATACTTTTTTATTTTATTATTTTTCTTCCAACTGGCACTCCGGATATTCTACGCCCACAGATTTCCATGCATCACGGGTGGGGATAATACCACTAAAGCTGAACTTATAGAGTGGTTGGAACTTCTCTGGAAAGTGTAAGTAAGGTTTTATTATGACCATTTTCTACATACTTACATAGAGAGCACTATTTTGTGTTTTATTTAAATATAATTATATGGTCTTCATGCCCACCATTCCGTAAGCGAGAACGGCAGTTGATATTTCTGTATATCCAGAAATGGGAATCTTTACCACTGCAAGCTGGTTTAACCTGAGCTTGTCGTAGCTCTATTACATATGTGATACCATTTTTAAGACTTACTGCACTATTGGACACTTTTTTTGCCTTCTGTTTTATTTCATGCATATCCACTTCTGTGGAATCATTAGAGGCCCTATTTAAGCTTATTTTCCAAGAAAATGACATCCTCACCACAAGGACTCTTGTTTTAAGTATATATTTGTATTGCTTTTTAATGTGTATCAATCCCTGTATATAAGCACCTACCCCAACGCGCTGAGGACTCGGGCACACCAGCCCTTAGAAGAAACCCCCTGCCTTAAAGCCTTAAGGGCCTGACGAACCACAATTGCCTTGGTAGCATCTTCCTAACCGCGCAGCTTGAACAGGAAGTGGAATCCTGCAAAGTGCAAAGAAATCGCAGAGAGGGACAAACCAGCGGACTCCCAAGCCCCTGGGAGAATCAACAACCAATGTAAGTGAGCGGGTGAATCCTGGAAACCCCCGAGAGCATGCACCCACCTGTCCCATTCACTCCACACCTTACTGTAGCAGGCCCACGTGGCTGTGGAGACCGACCCACGGACCAGCTCCATCAGTCTGCGAGACCAAGTGACCACATCTCCACCAGGCACGGGATGCCATCCAAATCGGCCTCCTGAGCCACCGCCCCAAATTCTGCCCACTGCGAATGAGAGAGAGCATCGGCCATTACATTGTGAACTCCCGGGATATGCTCAGCCCTACAAGACACATTAAGACCCAAACAGCACAAAACCAAGCGGACCACCGGGGTAGAGGAGGCGGTTAAGTGATTGATAGCTTGCACCACCCCAATGGAAAACAATCCGCCTATACTTTAGTTGGGGACCCCACACCTCTAATGCCACCAGAATGGGGATGAGCTCCAGGAAAGCAAGATTCCGTGTGAGGCCAGCCGCCTGCCTTGCTAAGCTTATCCTGAATCACCTGACGGAATTCACGTACGGACCGAAGGTTCTGAACTGGTAGTGATGGAGGGCGAACCAAAAACAAGATCCAGAAACCTTGCTTAAAACCCCCCCAATAGGATGGGTGCTGGCCTACAATTCCTATAAAGGGCAAGCCATTGGCCCATTGCACTTACGACCACCAGAGTCGTGGCCCTTAGACCCCATGTCCCCCTTCTCATCAGTTTTGCCCAGCTTAAAACAGCAGGAGATGGGATGGGCACCACTGAAACTGGAGCACTCGTGCTTGAACCGGCACGAGGCCCCCCACTTACAGTAACTGTTGTTAAATTTCCAACAACAGCCTGGCCTCTGGTGGGGGGCAGATGAGGAGGAAAACATCCCCCCACTTGGCCCCCCAAGAAAGGAAGAAAAAGCGCCTTGGTGAGGCGCTGGGTGAGTCATGATCGAGAGCCAGAGGCAAATGACCATCTGGTCCCAGGAAAGAGAGGATTTCAATGCCAGCTGCTGACAAAATTGTTCATCATATCTTCACCAACCCAGACCACAATAGGTGCGACATGCATTCCAGATAGTGTCCTGATAGCAGAACAATGTAGAGCACTTCTGGGGAGCCTTCTCCCCAGTGACACTATCCAGGATGGAAAATGCCCGGATCCATTTCCCAAACATCTTGGGAATTTTCCAATAGTGGTATTTTTCCTTGTCCTTATCGGAATCCTTACCGTCCTTCCTAACCAAGGGAGGAGCTTCCTCCAATGGTAGGAGGGACAATTTCTCTACAAAATACCCTTTCCAAATTTTCTCCCCAGTTTCCTTTTTTAAATGCAAGCTGAGAGGCCCAGACCAGCACATATAAGTAGCTCCCCGAGCCATGTCTGAAATGCCCGCCTCCAGGGAAGCTTCGCCTGTGCTAGCTACTGCGCAGGACGCTGCAGACAAAGGGAAACCTGAGGTCACCGAAGGAACGGGAGCACTACCAACTACTGACATAGACATAGGGGACCTCAATTCTTTGAAAACTTACTTCTTTGGGAAAGCATATCAATTAAACTGTGAACAGCTTTCCCTCCCCGCACCCTGATTCCACTCTTGACACTGTCATCAAAACAAAAAACTAAGCCCTCAATGAACACTATCCTAGCAAACTACTAACCTACCCTTACCTTTTGTGTAGCATTACCCCACTTCCCCTAGCATGTAAGCTCATTGAGCAGGGCCCTCAATCTCACTGTTCCTGTGTGTCCAACTCGTCTGGTTACAAATATTTGTCGGTTAGTCCACCCTACGGAACTAGTTGGCACTTTTTAAACTAATAATAATTGTTGAATGTATGACGATACCTAATTGTCTCGTATCAAGCTTTTATATCAAACTATCACATTGTCTGACTTGCGATAAATAATAACTAATGCTAATTCTCCTATGTGAAAGGTTTTACCGTATTTGTACAATTGGTTGAATTGTAAGCGCAATTAAATGTTTTGACTCTGTATGCACCTTTTTACCCGGTTAATGAAAAAACTGAAATTTAATAAACAATTGATGAAAAAAAAACAAAAATATGCGTTCTATTTTTAAATGCTTTTTCTGCAATTTGAATCATAATCAGGCTTCAAATGATGGCACAATTCATTGCTTCTATTAATGTCAGAATCAGAGGGCCTCCTTACAGTAATCCTTAGTATTAAACGTCCATCAAACTCATAAGATATCTGTGATTGCACATATGTGTGTGATATACCGTATATCTTGAAATGTCCTCGTGGTTAAATCAATATTGTGAAAATATTCGATTTTAAATAGTGTGAGCCAGCAAACATCAAACATGCACACAAATGAGGCCAAATTAGGATTTCCCAGATTTTGTAAATATGTATGAGATTAATTTTTGTGCAAGACTGACATCCAGACATATGCCTTAATAAAAGCTATTTGTTTTAACAAATAAATGTATATGTGTGTATTAAAGAACAGGAGAATAATGTTCCTAAGACAGCAGACATTACTTTGTGAATTTCTTCTCTTTCAGAGAAGAAACCACAGTCTGCTAAAATAAGGCTAATTTGCTTATCCGACATAAACAAATTAGATCTTACAGTTCCCTTTTCTTTTGGTTACCTTTTTTTATAATCTTTAGATAAGAAAGAGCTATTTCCTTTCAAATAACATATATGTGAGAACTGTTAATCTCTTAGTCAGATGCTGTGCAGCAGCAGTGTTTAAAGAGTTGAAGTTTTCCACAAAATGAACGACAAACGAATCAATATGTTTGTTCTGCTCGGTGCATACAGTGTGTTTTTAATTCAGAATGTGAATGCTGTGCATTTGGAAACCAATCAAGACGATATAATTAAAGCAATTGAAATTGTTAATAAACTAATTAACGAACAATTGGTAAGTAATATTTTTTATTTTTTTTTAATTTAGTCCTTTTTTAATATGTCAAATAATGATTTCTTTGTGGGTTTTTCTGTTTGTCTTTATTTTAGAATGTGGCTCAATGGTTTACAGTCCCGCAAGTAATAAAGGTAATTCATTATAAATATCTTGTTTGTTCTTGATCTTTGAAAATACAGAAAATGCATCATTTTATAAACTTTTTACCACTTTAAGTATTTTGGTAGTTTGTTAAGGTTTATTTATCTTTGCACCATAATATGTACTGTGCTTTATTTACAGAATCATCATAGCTCCCTTCTTAATACTGTACACTTATAATGTTTGCCTTCCAACTTGTGATGGGAGGGCTATATATGCTAATAAACATAGGCTTAAATGAGAATAGTCATCAGGATTTTAATAATCAAAACATATGGGACTTTTCAAGTAAATTGTGGAGACTGTAAAATCCACTATATTCTTTAACTTACCTACGGGATAACAGTAAAATATAATTTGACACAAGTGATTAGTTCATGTTATATGCATCAAAATCTAGTACGGGATGAGAGGGGTACCATTCACCTAAGCATGATTGTGCAGATTTTAAAATCATATGTTTTACTGTTTAAAAATATAAGAATAACAAAATATTAAAGGAGTTGGCTATCATCTCCATGTAGAAGAAGATGCAAAAATGATCAGTAGAAATAACTTTTTTGAATAGCTGAATTTCAATTATTTATGTATTTTTTAGAATTTGCATGTTTTTTTTTAGATAGCTTAAATAGCTCTATCTCCAGTTCTATTAGAAGTTACAGGAAATAAAGTCATAGAAAGAAGTCACATTTCATTTAAATGGCATAAATAAATAATTAAACTATTTAAAGTTTAAACTATTTTAAGTATGCCTCTTCTCGGTCTCTGCTGTGCCTGTGACCTTCTCCTGTCTGCTGCTCGCACCCGTACAGTAAGCTCACACTTGCAGGACTTCTTGCGGGTGGCTTCTTTCCTTTGGAATAGCCTGCCTATGACCATCAAGCTCTCCACTAGTCTTCAATCATTTAAAAAGTGCCTCAAAACCCATATCTTCAGGAAAGCTTATGGCCTCCCAGTGTAACCTCTACCTCACATACCTGTCCCTTGCTCTCTCCTCCAGCTCTGCTTCACTCCACCTTGTTCGATTGCTACCTCCTGTCCTGTTGGGTTTTACGCCCCACCTCCTATAGACAGTAATTTTGTTTGAGCAGGGCCCTCTTCAACCTACAGTACCTGTAAGTTTTTGTAATTGTCTCATTTATTGTTAAATCTCCCCCTTTAATAATATTGTAAAGCGCTACGGAATATGCTAGCGCTATATAAATACCAGAAATTAATAATAAAGTATGTGTCAACTGACAATACTTTACTTTTACATACTGACGACACATTTTATTTATGAATGCTTTACATAAATATAAAAAAGAGAAGATTTATTCATTTTCATAAGCAAATTAAAGTAGTAAAATAAAACATTTAAGTCTGTCATTTAGAGACAATCATGTACAGATTGAAAACACATTACATGATACTGTGTGTGCCATTACATGGATATTACCTGTTTTAATGTTGTGACATACCACTGTCTACTGTTTTAAAGGACATGTGTCATCTGAAAACTATTTTCAATATAAAAATCCTTTAATGAAAGGTTTTGAAAGGAAGTATATTTTTTGTAAATGCAGTATATGTTAAAAGAAGAATGAGAAAAACCCATCCTTACTTTTAGTTTATGACCGGATCCTTCAGCCATATACATGCACCTTGGGTCAGACAGTGTTTGCAAACAAACAGTTAGTCTCTCCCTGATTCGCTATATGCACAGAAACAGGGAAGACCATAGAGATTAACTGTCAGTTTTTACACACTATCTGACCCAGGGTGCATGTATATGGCTGAAGAATATAGTCATACACTAAAAGTAAGGATGGAGTTTACTTATTTTTACTATATTTTTGAATCTTAATGAAAGGATTATTATATTAGAAAAAGAGTTTTGAGGTGACCGCTATCCTTTAAGAAGGAAATCCATCTACTGATATCAGTACTAATATTAGCAAAGGGAATTCTTAAGGGTTAGGTTAGGGTTAGTTGTAGGTGTTAGGGTTATTTCTTTCTCCGACATCCCCCTGTGACTCTATTAGGTAATTTTTTTTTTTACCTGTGACTTTTTTTCCTGGAGTCTTCTGTTAATATCTCCCCGGTGATCATTGTGCCTATAGAAAATTATATAAAACTCCACCTCTAGATTATCTTGAGTTTCACAGGATTCATCTCCATAATTTACTGTGATAACTGTTTTCTTCCTTGGAATGTTAACCATGTATTTATGCAATCTAAATAATAGTGATGCAAGGTTTTAGTACAATTGACTAACACACCAAATATTTATAGAATTAATCATACATTTCTTTCTGCCTTTTATAGAATGTCACTTATTAAATGCTTGCACATATTTTTTAAAGTTTTAAGATAAGTGGCACATTTTGTCATATTAATTGTTACTACATACACCCAGAGAAGTAAGGAATGAATTTGAAAGAACTCGCTTTATGAAAAGAGCGGGTGTTTACATAAAATGTAATAATATTTCTAACACAAAGCCTTCATTGACATAATATAAATTTTCCATTCTTGCCTAACTGATAAGATAATGAGAATTTAAAAAAAAAAAAAAAAAGTCTTCCTCTGCTAGGTACTCTAAACACCGAAACAACTTTAGATTAATAAAACAGTTTTGGCATTTTCCATCATAATATACCCAGAAAAAAATAGAAAGAAATGGGAACCGTGGGAAAATTGGTGTAAAAGGGAATAAACACCACCTCCACACTGATCCCATGCACCAGGAGGGCACTCCGGCAATGCCCAAGGGCTTAACCCTAGAAACTAGCAACAGAAACAAAAAAGCAAAAATTCACAAACTGAATATAATGCTGACTGGAGATAAAGATGTAGTCACCAAAGCATCCAGTGGTATAGTAAAAGATTGGCAGCCCTAATAATCAAAAGTAGACAGACGAATAAAGTAAAATAAAATAAAGAAAGCCTCTCTCCTTGTGAGACTTACTAGATAGGCATAGAAAAAATTTAAATCATAAATCATAACAAACTCCCATGCCTAAGTAAGTGAGGAGATGAAGTGATGAAGTGCTACCTGATATGTAGTGACGATAGCCAGACTTTGTCACCAACCTGGTACACAGGTGTGGCACCACGCCCTTAACAGCCTGACATTTAAAATGAGCAGCAGCGCTGACTGCCGAGCTGAATGGAAGCAAACCTCAGCAGCTCCCACTGCATACAGCGCATAAAGCAATCCTTTACAGCCCAAAAGGCGATTAATCAAGGCAAACAGGACACCAATTGAGAGGTGCCATCGAGCTGAGCGAGATGACACCACCCAAGCAACATTTTGTGCAATGCCAATAGACCACATATCGGCACAAGTGCCCTCTTTCCCCCCCCCCACCTCTGTACCGGCTGGGGTCATCCTGGTCTACCCTCATGAAGAGAACACACCACCAAATTGATCCAGGACACAAAGCCCCACGTGGCCTAACCAAGATGGCTGGCGGCCCCGCTAATCATAAAGAACAACAGACACTCAAAGAATGGGCAGCGGCCTTCAAGAAAAAATTTGATGCCATCTGCAGGTGATTTTGGGAAAGCCTGAAGAACAAGAGACAGCCGCTGACACCAGCACCGGCCAGCAACAAGATCAAAGCACCCGAAGCACGACGGCCAGGCAGAGCTCAGCCCACAGCAAGGCGCAAGGTCGAGGCACAGCCGGGGAGGCCCCATTCGGGCAAAACGCACATCACTATATTGCCAGCCTGTTGGCCCACCTGGGAAAGGAGCTGCATGGGGTGTGATCCCTACACACCACTAACACCTGCAGAGGAAAGTAAGCGCATGACAGCAACCAAGTGCGAACCTGCACAACCCCACACGGGGGAAGGATTTGGCCCCAAGATGGCAGCGAGTCTGTGAGACACTGGTACTGACTCCGGAAAGGTCCCAGGGCAGAAGGAGAGCCTCCTCCGGTTCACGCAGTGTGACTGCCATAGACACACGGGACACCGAAGAGCAGTTGGGAGACTCAGCAACGTACCTACCAGCACTGCATTCAAAGCCTCCAAAATGGGCACCGGCTGAACTGGCGCGGACTGACTAGTTATCCAACTCCTGGTTTAAGCCTAATCACACTGTGAGAACTCTCTCTTGCACACTCTGATGTTTTCTTTGTTTTTCTTTGTTTCTCTATTTACTAGTATATCATCTGAAGCCATCTCAGTTTACCTAATTATATGATCACTATGTACGTATAGCCTGTAACAGATTTGTTGCGATGAACATGGGATTACTCCCATCACACTGATCATAATTGCATAATCCTGCCATCAGCATGTGATGACAGGGTGTGGGTGGTTGTGACAGGGTGTATGTGGGGTGTAGGGTGACACTGGGAGGGGTTGTGACAGTGTGTGTTGGGAGACAGGGTGGGTGGACAGGGTGGGTGGCTGTGATGGTGGTGTGTGGGAAGGGCTGTGACAGGGTGGGGTGACTTTGACAAGTTGTGTGGGGCATTGTGACAGGGTGTTAGTGGGGTGACAGGGTGGAGGTGGCTGAGGGTGTGGGGGGAGCTGTGACAGGGTGTATGTGGGGTGACAGGGTTTGTTGGAGTTGCTGTGACTGTGTGCAGATACAGGATGGGGTTGGCTGTGTCAAGGTGTGTGTGGGGGTGGCTGTGATGGTGTGTGGAAAGGGCTGTGACAGGGTGGAGTGGCTTTGACAAGTTGCGTGGGGGTTGTGACAGGGTGTTAGTGGGGTGACAGGGTGGCTGTGAGAGTGTGTGTGAGGACAGGGTGTGGGGGCTTTGACAGGATTGGGGTGGCTGTGAGGGTGTGTGTGGGGGGTGTGACAGGGTGTATGTGGGGTGTGGGGTGATAGGGTATGGTGGGGCTGTGAGAGGGTAGGGTGGCTGTGAGAGGGTGGGGGGGCTGTGACATGGCGGAGAGCTGTGACAGGGTAGGGGGCTGTGACAGGGTAGGGTGGCTGTGACAGGGTAGGGTGGCTGTGACAGGGCAGGGGGGCTGAGAGTGGGTAGTGGAGGCTGAGAGAAGTTACGGGGCTGACAAAGGTGCATCTCATATAGCACCGAAATGCACGTCAGGCATTTTTCCCTCCTGGGTTATGGGCACTGGGCACTTTTTTGCTTAGCACGTTTTGTTTAAGTATGTTGTTATAATCTTTTCCTATCTATTCTTTTGCTCCTATGTCTGTCTAGCTAGGGAGAGAGGCTTTTAATTTTTAATTGCCAGCATGTTTTTTTAGCTGGCTATTGATTTCTTACTGCCTACCCTCTACTTTAACTAATATTCTGACAGCATCTATCCTCTGAATATTTACTAGGATAAATTGTGACATTTGCTCCAGATATTTATCCATCTTTTTTTATATCCCATTAGTCATTATTATTATTTATTTTTTATATCCCCAAGGAACATTACAAGCTTGTATACTCAGGATTTGTACTCTACAAGTTATATGGGATATACCTTGTGAGGAGAATTTTCTCAGTCTATAACATGAGATAGATAATCAGGGGATTGTTCTCCTTTACCCAGAGCCAAATTTAATAAAGGTCACTTAGATTTAATAATTTTGAACGGTACCTGTACATTATGATCTGGATCTGTTATATACCTATATAGGAGCATTTTTATTAAGTAATTAGTCATCATTTATTATTTGGTCACCAGATCTTGCTATATTATATTTACCTGTCTAAAGGGAATTTTGTACTTTTTGTGATTTTTTTGTATCCTTTTGTTAACTTTTCTTTTTTTGTCAATTCTATCAGGGTTCAGCCCCTAGAGACCCCTGGAGTCTCGGCTTGGTACTTAAGATAGTTAGACACTCCCGGCGCTGTCCCTTTGGTATAGCGACACTGGTGGTACCTACTATCTTATATCTGCTTGTATTTTAACAGTGACAGAATAACAACAAAAAAAAATAACAGAAAAAAATGCATGTCAAAAAAGTTAGGAATTGATTTGCATGTCAATGAGTGAAATAAGTATTTGACCCCTTCGACTTAGTACTTTGTGGCAAAACCCTTGTTGGCAAATACAGAGGTCAGATGTTTCTTGTAGTTGGCCACTAGGTTTGTACACATCTCAGGAGGGATTTTGTCCCACTCCTCTTTGCAGATCCTCTTCAAGTCTTTAAAGTTTTGAGGCTGACGTTTGGCAATTCGAACCTTCAGCTCCCTCCACAGATTTTCTATAAGATTAAGGTCTGAAGACTGGTTTGGCCACTCCAAAACCTTAATCAGCTTTTTCTTGAGCCACTCATTTGTTGCCTTTGCTGTGTGTTTTGGGTCATTGTCATGCTGGAATACCTATCCTTGACCCATTTATAATGCCATGGCTGAGGGAAGGAGGTTCTCACCCAAGATTTGATGGTATGTGGCCCCGTCCATCGTCCCTTTGATGTGGTGCAGTTGTCCTGTCTCCTTAGTAGAAGAACACCCCATAAGCATAATGTTTCCACCTGCATGTTTGATAGTGGGGATAGTGTTCTTGCGGTCATAGGCAGCATCCCTCCTTTTCCAAACACAGAGAGTTGAGTTGATGCTAAAGAGCTCGATTTTGGTCTCATCTGACCACAACACTTTCACAGAGTTCTCCTTTGAGTCAATCAAATGTTCATTGGCAAACTTCAGACATGTCTGTACATGTGCTTTCTTAAACAGGGTGACCTTGCGGGCGCTGCAGGATTTCAGTCCTTCCTGGTGTAGTGTGTTACCAATTGTTTTCTTGGCAACTGTGGTCCCAGCTGCCTTGAGATCATTAACAAGATTCTCCTGTGTAGTTCTGAGCTGATTCCTTAATCGTTCTCATGATCATTGAAACTCCAAGAGGTGAGAACTTGCATGGAGCACTAGACCGAGGGAGACTGACAGTTATTGTGTTTCTTCTATTTGCGAATAATCACACCAACTGTTGTCAAGCTCCTTGGCGATGGTCTCATAGCCCATTCCAGCCTTGTGTAGGTCTACAATCTTGTCCCTGACATCCTTGGACAGCTCTTTGGTCTTGGCCATGGTGGAGAGTTTGGAATCTGATTGATTGATTGATTGCTTCTGTGGACAGGTGTCTTTTATACAGGTAACAGAGAAATCATACAAAATGAAAGGGATTCAATAGTGTTAGGAATGCAAATGTGTATTCCTAATACTATAGTGCCCTCTGATCCTAATTGCAATTTGCATGCTTACATGCACTATGGCCAGTCTTGCATTTTTGCTAGCACTCATTGCGTCAGAAACAACAAATCTTGTTAATAGTAAACAAAAGTTCTGTGCTGTTTTTTGTTTTTTTTGTTTTTTTAATGATTTAAGTTTCCTCTTCATATTTGTAGTTCCCTTCTTCTTTTTCCATCTTATTCCATGACTTTTTCATACATCAAATCCAAAATACATAGTAAACTTTCTGTGGCTAAAAGTGTTAAACCTTGGGTTTTTGCAGCCATGCCAGAAAATAAAGATGATATATTGCACATCTTCCAGTCTGTTCAATGCCAGTAAGTATTGTGAAATCAATACTTAAGTTTTAATGTAATTACACATTCTGTCTGAACTAAAACGAATTCCTTCTTACAGTCTGTAACATTATCATTGGAAATACCACTTAATTTGAGAAATGCCAGAGAGTTCCTTAAGTTCCCGACCCAGGCATGGAGTATATACTACTCAGTGGTGGCTGGTGAACATTAAAGATGGTGGGGCACTGATTTATTGGGCTCTACTCAATTAACCCTGTGTAATGAACCACGGACCCAATCATATATAATTTCCTGTTCAAAACCATAAGCCTATAGATACATGTATGTGGGAAAGAAAAAACACTTTAAAGAAGTCCAACTGCACCTACTGATACTCAATGACAGTCCTAAAAGACAGGACAATACGCAGGTCAGTCTTTTAGAACATCTAAAAAATGATTGCAACTAAAAATGGTTACAACTAATCATTTATTTACCTAGTGATATTGGGCTATTTTAGCTCATAGTTTGCAGCAATTACTACAAACATCTCCAGCCACTTTGACAAACTATTAGAGTGTCTCTATAGTCAATAGCAATTATTATCATACCATCTTAATTTATATTCTGGATGGGGGTCCTTTCTGTTTACAAACAGTACATGGTGAATTTTTGTTGGTGGGTTTAAGGGGTGCCCTTGAAGACACAATAGGGCAAGTTAGCATACATCCAGTGTTGATTTTGCCTGCCCAGTACCCATCGACCTTCCCTGGTTATAAGAGGAAAATGACACCATTTGTTACAATCCCCCAATAAAGAGGGGTTGTAACTTTTGTGGGTCCAGTTTTCTTCTCTTTTTTTCGCTCTATTTTCTTTACATTAATCTAAAAAATTATGCCCCATTCAAAGTCAATGGATGATGTCAAAAATCCTGGTGCATTTTTTTTAATGTCTTGATATGGTAAGCTGCTCAGCAACATATTCAGCCATCAAAAAAGGGGGAGGTGGAAACTACAGATATCATAACAGACATGTCTCAGTCCTTACCACACCAATGGATTAATTTCTTCTTTTTTTAACATAAACTGAGGGGAGACCGCCCCACCTGCTCGGTGGACCAGTTTCCACTTATCCTTTCAATATGTCTGTGAGGATTTCACTTCATTAAATGTCATTTACAAATATCCTGATTTGTTGGCAGTTCAAAGCCAATTCAAAGGGAATTAAATGTTTAATTTAGCCTGTTTAGGAAATACTTTTGTTTATAACTTGGGCAAAATGGTTTGCCTTCAGCACCAGGGTTGGATGACTGGATCTATTGTGTGATTGATACTTAAACGCAGATTTCATGCACTGCTAATGCCCTTGATATGGCATTAGCAGTGCATTACTTTTGCTGTAATGAATACCAATGAAAGTAGCTCATATGTGGGACTTATTTCACAAGAAGGTGACATGAGCTAGGGAGTCTTCTTGTGGTCACATTGCTCAAACTCCTCTCGGATGCAGGCATTGGTAAAGGAGATGCTAGGCATGTCTGTGCTATTATGGGTGGAGACATGGGGGAAGCTGGTGGTCTCTACCTAATCTCCATAGTGTTGGAGATAATGACATGACCATTGAAGTGATGGATTGTTCAAAGATTGAGAAAGATTTTTTTTCTTTCGGCCTGCATGTTCTTTCCCTGATGTTGGAGAAGACATAGTAGGTTGTGAGGCTGAAAGGGGTTATTGCGTACTTGAGAAACAATGTTGTAGCTCTTGGTGCATGCACATAGATAGGCATGAGCATATTACCTTATGACCCATCTGGCTTCTTGCAAAAGATGTTTCTTGTTATAAATACAATCATGGGAAAAGGCAAACTGTGCAAATCACAAAAGTGCGCAATAGTTCAAAATCCCTGATTAGTCAGTAATCTTTTCAATAAATCAATCTAGATTTCCAAAACACAAAGGGCCCCATTGCAGCTCTATATGGAAAGTGTGCAATGTTTTCTTCTGTGCACATCAAATTTGCCAAACCCCTTAAAGACAGAGACAATTATACTCTCTAATATCGGTGGGTCCTACACAGATTTTTTTTTTAAATGTTTTTAATTCTTTATTTTTTGTGCTTGTTTGTTTCAACAAGAACATATGTCATGAGGTTACGGTATTATAATGTTGACAATTTCCATACAATATATTGCGGATTTCAACAGGAGAAACATGTTCATGGAGGTAGTAAGCACCTTTTCTTGTTACAAACAGGTTTGGTAACATACCCTGGGTGGCATTATATCATCAAAATTTTAAAACTATTGCATGCTGTACCCGTGGGATACTCCCGGTGTGTGACGTGAACTATGCTCGCTTTGGTGAGCCAGGTTGGAATCAAAGTGTGTGAGAGCATTTATATATGGAAAGGCAGGCTGGGGCATGTGTGCAGGATAGTTGCCTATATATCTGGGTTGGTTAAATAATGTGCCGATGCAGGCTGGATTGCTGAGAGTTACAGCGCTAGTAATCACGCATCTTAGCTGAAACCCCTAACCAAGGAGGCATGGGGGGGGGGGGCGTGTATTGTAATAGATGCAACTTTCTGTCAGTGGTGACAGAGGTATTGAACTTCTTGTAAGGAAGTCGAAGCTTCATTATACACTGTGGGGTGATTGTAATTCTAGCATCTTTGCCGAGCCAAAGTAAGGATAAGCACAACATAAAATACATGAAAAAGGAACTGTGTTGTAAGCTTGTAGGTAATAGCAGTGTTACAGGCAACCTATTTGGGTGCCTTGGCCCCTGGATGTTTTCAGGTGTCTAGGGCCTGTTAGCATCACAGAGGGGTGCTGCCATCCAGCTCCCAGTTTTCATGGTGATTTGTGGCTGCGGAGGAAGCTTGTGAAGGAGGCAGTCCTATTGCGTGCAAGAATGCTGAGACTCCATTCATTGTTGTGAGATTGTGAGAAGTCCCGTTATGGTGGATAAGAAGGGAGCTAATGTTTCACCATCAGTATGGCTTGTATCACCATGGTTGTCACTGGTCCAAATGACTTGCGCCAGAGTAAGGTGGCTCTGATGAGGTCTTGGAAGAATAATAGCTGGGACCCTTCAAAGGTCAGTGGTGTTTTGCCCTTCAAGGCTGACATTATCTGCATTTTGTCATGTACTGTCACACACTGCAGTATGACATCCCGTGGTGTATTGGGTGATATGCAGACCGAGCTAGTCACTCAGTAGGTCTCGTCTAAGATTATTTTCACTGCAATCATCTGTGACAAAATTGTGGTGAGTAGCACTGAATGTAGTGGGGCAATTATTCAGTTGGAACGGTGGCGGGATCACCGCGGATTTTGATGTTTGTTGCTTGTCTTCGAGGGACATTATTTGGGAGGCTAGCACTTGCTGCTCAGTTTGCAGTTGGAGGACTGAGGCATTGAGTTTGGTTACATGATCGTGGACTTCGGCAAGGTCGTCCTCCGCGGTTTTGACACGGTCAGAAACAGGTTGCATGTCCTTTTTGACAAGTGCCACATCAGCTGCTAATAGCTTCTGTATGTCAGTCAAGAGTACCTTTAGGTCCCCTTTGGTGGTGGGGGCTGAGTCATCAAGGGATGCAGGAGGTAAGGCATTTTGGCTTGAGGGGTTCTTGTGTTATTAGTCACTCCACTTTCGTGGGGCACTCAATGGGTCACTATTTACAATACAGACACTGGACAACCAGCTTCAAGCCAACTGGTGAAAACCATACTAGAAACAATGCAATTATTTCTATATGGGGAGTGAGCGGCTCTTTTTTGTATATCCTAAACAATCTGTTATTTTTGCAATGAGGAAGGAGAAAATTGGTGCCTGCCATCCCCTTAAATTTATCTGCCTAGGTGCAGGCTTAGCTGGTATAATGGTAAAGACACAACCAGATATTTGCTGATTTGTCAGAAAAGCAAAGAAAAATAATGACAGTCTCAATCTGCCTTACTTTAAAACCAGGAAATGTAAGATTTTACTGTATGTTAATACCCATAATGTGCACAGGTGTTCTGATCTACTGCTAATAAGTGTGTCTAAAATAAAAAGTGTTGTCCCACCAGTTCATCACAACAAGTTATTATATGAGAATTGCTGTGTAAATGGTGAAATGACTCATTTGTTTGTTTTATTTTTTCTACAGGGTGCAGAATACGAAAAGAAGGTTTTTGAAAGAGAAGTTACTAATCTTTTTCACTTTGTAAATGACAATAATCAACGAAATCAGATTGATAAATTAATCAAACTTATAAACAAAGTAAATGCTACCGTAAGTATTAAGTTCATTTTGCAGGGCATTCACAGTGAACAGAATTGAAATTTCAGCCATTATTTAAATGTTGTTTAAATGTAAAATGACATGTTAAGTACTTATAAGAACAAGCAAGATCATTTTGTTAATTGTTTTCAAATAGTAAGCTTGGCATCAGGAGATGGGGCAGAAGTTAAAAGAAAGGTGTGGATAGTAGTAAGGACGGAACAAATGCTCCATATTAAACTCAGGAATGTGTAATTTGAACTATTTTTCCATTCCCCCAAATATTGACGCCCCATTAATGGGATTTCAATCACCAAGGCCAGCCATCTAAGGATGGACCACCAGGAAGTCCAGTTTCAACCCTTACTGCATTGTCCTAATGGTGGACTACGCAGGGAGTCCTGTTTCAACCCTTACTGCATTGTCCTAATGGTGGACTACGCAGGGAGTCCTGTTTCAACCCTTACTGCATTGTCCTAAGGATGGACCACACAGGGAGTCCTGTTTCAACCCTTACTGCATTGTCCTAAGGATGGAAAAGAAAAAACAGGGGATAACCCCTAAATTGTTAATTTAACTTGAGAGGAAAATACTAAAGAAAAAGGGAAAACAAAATCTACCAACAAGTATCTCTTAATTGAGAAAGTAATTACAATTAGTGCCAAAGTAAAACTTAACTTTTAATGTTGTTAAATAAAAAGAGAAATTGATAAATAGAATAAAGCAAGGTGTTGAGTCCTTTTTGTATCTAATGATAGATACTATTGTAGCAAGGCAACAGTGAATCTATGAAAATTGTCAATAAGCAAATAGGCATGCTATTATTTAGACATTGTAACACATAAGACAGAGTAAAGGCTGAGAAAAAGGAGGCGCAAAATGGCTAGGTCCTATATCGGTAAGAATCTAATGTGCCTTCGTGGGCACCACTTAAAAAAAAGCCTGCTCTGATACTAAAGCCACCCGCTACTATTTCAAGTGAGGAAATCAAGGTAACAAAATGGTAACAAGGACTGAACATCCACACACAGGATGCCTATACACAGAGTGAAAGTTCCGTTGTTGTGAGATTGCGGTGGGGAATATTAACACCTAGGATATGACGAGTAGGCGTCCTGAGCCCCTACTCGGCATATATGTACCAGGTGTAGGAAAAGGAATAAATATATATATATATATATATATATATATATACATATACACACACACACACACACACACACACAAGAGAGTAATCCAGATAGCACTCCCAGGACCGTCCTGATGAAAGTCTGTGTAAAACAGACTGAAACGTTGATTCATTTTTTATAAGCTAATTAAAAGCTAAGTTTTATTTTATCTACAAGTCCTGACAAGCACCGGGCAAGTATATTTGTATTATATATATATATATATATATATATATATATATATAAAATCAAACTGTACCTTGTACACAGGCTCCTAGTTTCTCCAAACCGGGTGCATAACCAGGGCTTAAACATCCATATAATCAGGTTTATTCAAATTCCATAAAATAGATCAACGTTTCAGTCCAGCCTGTTCAGTCCAGGATCCTGATCTGTTTTATGGAATTTGAATAAAAGTTATTTTTTATCGGAAATCTGTGAGTGCAGCCATTCTACCTGAGATAGATATATATATATATATATATATATATATATATATATATATACACACACACACACACATCTAACAAAAGTGAGTACACCCCTCACATTTTTGTAAATATTTTATTATATCTTTTCATGTGACAACACTGAAGAAATGACACTCAAACGGAAGGTGGGGGAAGAACAAGGTTTCTAACATCCACCTGCTCCGTGATGTCATCATAGAGGAGTGGAAGAGGACTCCAGTAGCAACCTGTAAAGCTCTGGTGAACTCCAAGGCAGTGCTGGAAAATAATGGTGGCCACACAAAATATTGACACTTTGGGCCCAATTTGGACATTTCCATTTAGGGGTGTACTCACTTTTGTTGCCAACGGTATGGACATTATTGTGTTGAACTTTTGTGAGATACTGTGTAATGCCTGGTGCTGGTTGTGGCAAAAGTAGATATAGGTGCAGAAACAATCGCACTCCTGGGACTTTGTTAAAGTAGTATAATTTAGCTTTTATTCATTCCATATAAAATATCAACGTTTCAGCTCCAACACAGAGCTTTCATTAGGACAGATAACATGAAACATATGTGCAGACAAGAGAATATATACCTCAGATCCCTCCAAAAAACTGAACAATCAAATAAAAAATGCAGGCTGAGGCTAACTCCCAGTCTACCCTTGTATCTGCATAATTGGGGCTCAGAAGGGAGGGTGGAGTGGAGTGTTTGAGTTCCAAACTCTTGCCTAGAAACATCCGGGATGCATGGTTCAAAATTATCTAGCCATGGTTACGGACAAACCTTAAACTTTCATCATCCTTAGTCAGCGGTGTTGATTCAGTAGAGCAGGGGTGTCAAACATGCGGCCCCCCAGATGTTGCTGAACTACAACTCCCATGATTCCCTGGCTATCTGTTTCATTGAAAGAATCATGGGAGTTGTAGTTCAGCAACATCTGGGGGGCCGCATGTTTGACAACCCTGCAGTAGAGTAAAACGCTTGTAAATAAGTACGTTACTAAATAATTAAAAACAAATACTTGTAGGGCAAGATAGCCAGTCACAGGTCTAATTAATTATTAGTATAGTAAACAGGCAGTTAGAATACTTATATCCAATAGTTTAAGGCTTGGTGGGGGTAGCTAGAGAGTACCATCAACATAATAGTAATGTCATATACCAGCAATATTTATGTGGCATTAAAGTTTTAGTGCTTATAAACAACATACCATCAACATAGTAGGTATCTCAGGGTAATAATAATAAAAAATGAATAAAATTAAGACTAAGAATTAAATAAAAATAAGACTAGACACATAATGACCGTGTACTGTTAACAGAGTAGCTATTTGAAAAATAGTAACATTAACATGATTCAATTAAATATATTAGGCATATAGAGCTGGACACATAATGACAGGGTATAGTCAAAAAAGTAGCAAACACATGTAGCAACAATTAATAACCTGGATATGTTGTGTCACATTAAAGTTTAGCACACCAGCAAATGCTAAGTATAGACATAGAGGAATTATCCTAAACATACTGATAAGGCACATTTTTTAATTGAAACCTTTAGGTAAGGCAGTGTTTAAAGTTTTAATCCAATAGACTTCCCTTTGAAGTAAAGGTTTCTTGCGATCTTCTCCTCTGCGAGGGGGGGGGGAAGGGGGTGTGGTCTATAGCCATAAACTTTAATGTGGGAAGGGGGTGTCCAAATGACAAAACATGTTTGGCCACAGGGAGGTCAACCTCATTGTCCCTATAGGCTGTGCTGATATTCGAACGATGGTTTCTTATGCATTCTCTTAAGGGGAGGTCTGCCTTTCCTATATAGGACAGTCCACAGGGGCATTGCAACTTGTAGATTACAAAATACGTAGGGCAAGTAAGTCTATGCTTGATAGGGTATCTCTTTCCTGAATGTAGGTGAGTGAAGTATTTACCTGATGACATATGACTACATGTGACACAACCCAGACAGTGGTAGCAGCCCCAGTTAACAGATGTCTGGTCCTTGGTGTAACAGTGCACTGGATCTGTTTTGACCAGAAGATCCTTCAGATTCTTTCCTCTTTTATGGCACATCATGGAGGGATTGTGGAAAACCTCTGGTAGACTCGGGACACGTTCTGGGATACGCCAGTTGGACCTTGCATTTTGTAGACTGTTGGACACTGTGTTATACGTGGTTGGAAAGACCATGCGTGGATTGTCCTTTGTGTTCCATCGTGCTGGCTCTTGACTCTTAATCAATGCTTGTTGTAGGGTTGATTATTTGTAGCCCCTCTCTCTGAATTTGTTCCACATCTCCTTGATCTGTTTTTGGGTATTCACAGTATCAGAATTATTACACACTACCCTCATAAATTGGGATAGTGGTAGTGATTCCTTGAAGGGTTTCGGATGGAAACTGTCTGCTCTGAGTATTGTGTTTCTGTTGGTTTGGTATAGAGGGTATGTGCCAGTTTGGACTGGTTCTATTAGATGTGGACATCCAGGAAGTTGACTTATGTGGGGCTTGCTGTCAATGTGAGTTTGACCAGTATGGGTGCTTCGTTAATCGAATTTACCATTGATGTAACTTTTACACTGTATTCTTATTAAATAGGAAATCCAGCCATTTTGCCAATGGTTCAAGGACACCCCCAATGGCTGAGACTATAGGCCTACCTGGAAGGTGGTTCATACTCTTGTTGATTTTACCTAGGGTATAAATGATAGGTGTTCTCGGTGTTGGTTGGATTAAAGCTTTTTGTAATTATTAATAATTTGTTAGACCTGCAACTCGCCATCTTGTCTTTCGAGTATTTGTTTTTAATTATTCACTGCTTATTAACGTACATATTTACAAGCGTTTTTACACTACTTAATCAAGTACCTGGGCAACACCGCAGGCTAAGGATGATGAGAGTTGAAGGTTTTTCTGCAACCATGGCTAGGTAAATTCGAACCATGCATGACGAATGTTGCTAGGCAACAGGTTGGAACACAAACACTCCACTCCTCCCTCCCCTCTGAGCCCCAATTATGCAGATACAAGGGTACAGGGAGTTAGCCTCGGCCAGTGGTGCTACACCCGCACACTGATTCAGTAAGTACACGCCAGTGGTGCATTGTTTATTTGATTGTTCAGTTTTTTGGAGGGATCTGAGGTATATATTCTCTTGCCTGCACATTTGTTACATGTTATCTGTCCTGATGAAAGCTCCATGTTGGAGCTAAAAACGTTGATATTTTATATGGAATGAATAAAAACTACATTTTACTACTTCAACAAAAGTCTCAGGAGTACGATTGTATATATATATATATATATATATATATATATATATATATATATATATATATTGTGACAAACTTACTTCCCTGTGTGTGTTTGTCCAGGATCTTTTGGCAAGGATACACCAAGCAGCAAAACCTTCTTTCTCCTCAAAATTCTTTCCTTCTTTCCTTCTTTCCTTCTTTCCTTCTTTCCTTCTTTCCTTCTTTCCTTCTTTCCTTCTTTCCTTCTTTCCTTCTTTCCTTCTTTCCTTCTTTCCTTCTTTCCTTCTTTCCTTCTTTCCTTCTCCTCAAAACACTTCCCTCACTCCACCCTGCTTTAACTGCAGTTATATAGCTGCTCACAGCCCCTACAGGTGAGGCTAATGACCTCATTAGGCAGTGAGCCAGAACTCCTTAGAAAACCTGGGCTGGACTCATGCACAGCCACTCTGACAGTGGGTGGAGAATCGGCCCACCCTGCTCTTCCGAATACTCCACCCCAGGGACCCAAATAACAACATAGAAAAAAACCTACATTTAATCTTTCCCTGGGGCTGCATGTGCTTAACCACATGTCAGGATAGTGGCTGCGCAAAAGTCTGGGTGCCAGATATACACCTTTGACCACCATCCCCAACACTCAGTCACAATGTATATATATATATATATCACGGCTTAAAATTTGAAGTCCTATGCTAAAAGCATTGTATGATCACCAGGGGTGAATTTCTACTAGCCAGGAATATATATCTTTCAACAAAGAATCATGAGCAGTTATGTTTTATTTACACAATAGGTTTGGTCAGTGTTTAACAGTCTGCATACATTACCTCAGGGTAAAAAAATTATTTATTTGAATGATTAATGCAATCTTTCATGAGTACCATTGAGCTTCATAAATAATAAAATGTATACTGTAAAACATATGTAAAAATCAATGAAAGCTAAATAAAGCTACCACGATAAATTACTCTGGGCTAGAGAACAGCATAACGTGTCATTGCGCAGCATTTTTACCTATATATGTCAATGAGAGAATTTCTATTCAGTTTCAGTTTAAGATTTATAATATGATCTATTCCATTGATTTTATTTTGGTAACAAACTTTTGGTCAGATTCTGATAAACATAACTCTGGTAACTGAATAGCAGTTCTCTCATTGACATCTACTGGAAAGCTGCATTCAATTATTGGATATACATTTCTTTCTTATAATAAAAACCTTTGTGCTACAAAGGTCAATCTTCCAGTCTCTGTGTTTGCAGAGGAGAAAGTAAAGATACAGTCTCTCTGCACCAAAGCCTCTACATCAGGGGTAGTCAACATTTCAATACCTAACGCCCACTTTTGTATCTTTATTAATGGTAAAATTTCCTTACCGCCCACCAGTGCTGCAGTAACTAATTTTATAGCACAACTGCAATTTTTAAAAAGTTTATTTTAGAAATTAGTTTTTTTTTTTTATGTACTTAAATGTATCTATTTTTCCCCTTTTTTTCTATGTGTGTCTGTGAGGTGCTGTGTGTGTGTGTGTGTGTATGTGTGTGGTGCTATGTGTATGAGGAGGCAGTGTGTGCATGCGTGTGTGTGTGTGTGTGTGTGTGTGTGTGTGAAAGGTGTTGTGTATGTGTCAAGATTGCTGTGTGTGTCAGGGGAGCTGTGTGTGTTCTCTTGGGTTTGTGTGTGAGAGAGGTGCAGTGTGTGTGTGAAGGGAGCAGTGAGTGTGAAGGGTGCAGTGTGTGAGAATGGTGCAGTGTGAGTGGTGATGTTACAGTGTCCCTTTAGGCACATAAGTACTTTTTGTACAGTTGTTAGAAGTATAAATCAGTTTCCTTATTTTTATAACAATTAGTGCTGGATTCTATTGAAAGATTTAAGTAAATCTCAGGTAACTGATAAGTGATTTTCTAGTAGATGTCAGTAAGAGAATTGCTATAAAGTTACTATAATACGTAAATCTCTTGAATAATAATCGAGAGTTTAGTATGAATAACAGACTAAGTGACAATAACAATATCAATAATTATTGAGATTTCTTTTTGCTTTTTGTCTTTCAGAATACACATACGACTAATCATGATGTCACCTTTGAGAAGATTTCTTGTTTTCTTGACAGACTCAAAGATTTTTTGGAAATCCTTTGTAAAACTATAAAATGCATACTCTGAGCTATAACTACTATAGAACACTGTAGTGTTAAATATTGTTTTACCTCTTTCCTGGAGTCTACTGGCAGCCTCTTCCTACCTCTACTGCAGCCTCCATGACAGCCTGAAGATCTCTATATGAGCTTAGCTGACAGTGAATGTCTTAATTCATTGGCTGAAAGTGATCAGCTAACACTGTCAGTCAATGAGCTGGCTCAAACCTAGTGCATGACGTAGCTAGGCTGTCTGAGAGGAGGTGGGAGCAATACCCAGCAGACCCCAGGTAAGAAGTCAAACCTTTCTATAACTTTTTTACTACTTATTAGGGGGCATGAGGGCACTCCTGGTAACATAAACAAAACAGTGGGCTTGTTAAGGGAAAAATAACATGGACAATTGTCTTCAAGATTACCACCTGCTTAGCTGCTAACCTCCAGAAACCTGTAATATTGAATCATGCTTTTAGTCATATACACATACATTAGTAAATAACTATTAGAATAAATAGTATTACATCATAATAACTAACAGACTAATCTATAACTATATAATAAGGTGTGCGGGGAAGTATATACGATTTAAGTGAATAACAAACTGAAGATGTTTAAAACGAATGACTTCAAATGAGACAGCATACAAACGATTAAAGGACCACTATAGTGCCAGGAAAACATACTAGTTTTCCTGGCACTATAGTGCCCTGAGGGTGCCCCCACCCTCAGGGTCCCCCTCCCGCCCGGCTCTGGAAGGGGAAAGGGGTTAAAACTTACCTTTTTCCAGCGCTGGGCGGAGAGCTCTCCTCCTCCTCCTCCTCTTCTCCTCCCCGTCGGCTGAATGCGCATCGCGGCAAGAGCTGCGCGCGATTCAGTCGGTCACATAGGAAAGCATTCATAATGCTCCTATGGACGCTGGCGTGCTCTCACTGTGAAAATCACAGTGAGAAGCACGCAAGCGCCTCTAGCGGCTGTCAATGAGACAGCCGCTAGAGGAAATAGGGGAAGGCTTAACCCATTCATAAAACATAGCAGTTTCTCTGAAACTGCTATGTTTATGAAAAAATGGGTTAACCCTAGCTGGACCTGGCACCCAGACCACTTCATTAAGCTGAAGTGGTCTGGGTGCCTAGAGTGGTCCTTTAAGTGTTACACATAAAGTACAACAACACTCTTCTCTACATCATGGAGCTGGGAAAGACAAACAGTATACTAGCCAATTAAATTGTTTAGTTTTGTACCACTCATTGGAGTACATTGAATGGAATGTCTATAAGAACTCTGACTTTTTCCTTAATAAACAAGAACACTTGAATTTGCCTGCAGATGCTGTCCGTGTTAACTCATTTCTTCTTCCAGCTAGCTGCCTGTCAAAGTTCACCTCAACCTGTCCGGGTCAGACCCAGGTGTATGTTGGCCAACAGGGGAATCAGATGTACCCCTTCTGGAAATTTGGCCCTACAGAGATATAATGCCCATAAAAGATATTAAAGAATTTAGAATAGAGAGGGGGCTGGTGATGAAACTTGAAATTAAAAATTAACTTTATTGAAGTTATCATCAGCTCCTTATGATCCCGGCTGACGGCTGACGGGTGAACCGCGCGTCGGGTGTAAACCGACCTGGTTACTGAACCAGAAGGCTATTAGACCTCACCAAAAATCTTTTTTGACCTTACCCGCTGGTTCAGTAGGGACCAACTTAGTACTACTATTTTCATTTTCTTTTTGGCTACTTCCTATTATTACATTATCTCCCTTAGCATTAGCTGTTCTCTCCCTTAGCACTAGCTATCCCACTAGAATTATAAACTGTTCTACACTGCATTAGCACAACATGGAGAGAACAAGTGCCAGCTGTCAAATACGTAGGGAAGAGTAGCTTGGCAAATACTTAGACCATCCAACACTTGCACCCTCCCTGCTACCTTGAATTTATAGTATCATATGTTATAGATTTAAGGGATCCCCATACTCTTGAAAACTTCGAATTTGCTTTTACCAAGCGTATTGCTCTAGCAGAGATTCAATCACCAGGTAACAGCTTCTATATCGAACTAGTTTGCAATATCTGGTGAGTCACCAAACATTTTGTTATTAGATACTGTTACATTAGGGAAGATTTCACAACCATTACAACTTCTCTCTAATATACACAGCATCTAAACCAGAAGTACCAATGTGTTGTTTTTTATTTTGTTCTGTCTTTGAGTATATACTCTTTTGATTGTACACCTTTGTTTTATCCCAATACTAGGCAATACATATATTTTTTTCATTTTAAAATTAAAAGTTAATTTTGAATTTCAAGTTTCACCACCACCCCCTCTCTATTCCAAATTATCCAAAGGCTAAAAACCCTGTACTTTGAGTAATGACATATATCATCATAATATCACTACTAGCTGACTGGTGACAGATCGGAAGTATTTCTCTTTTATTTATTAAAAAAATCACCTTTTTTGTGGTTTGTTTAGGGTTTTGTTAACAGGAAATGCAGTTTAGTTTCATGTTTCAAATCTCTTAGATCAAGTAGTTCAGTGACAACAAGTAGGATGCAGACTTGTTCTCAAAAGAAATTACTGCACAAAAACAAACAAAAAACATGGACATGCAGATTTATGTCTATGCATCTGTGTGTGTGTGTGTGTGTGTGTGTGTGCCATTATTTGTATCTATATATGTGTCAGTGTATGTCTCTGTATGTGTTTCAGTGTGTGTCTGTGTGTGTATCTTTGTATCTGTATGTGTGGCAGTACTCTATATGACACTTTATAATTTTTCCTGTGTATCTATATAACTTCACTGCTTCCAATCCTGGCCAACTCCTAGACTCACTGAGGAGACCAGGAATAAAAAATGGAAAACAGAGCAGATAAAAAAGTTCTAGGGTTATAGAGCCCCACATTCAGGGCGCGAGCCCCCCCCAGTTCTCTTCTTCATCTGTAGTTGCTGAGATTCACATAGCCTACAGTGTTCAACTCAGCACTTAGAAGGACTCTCGTGTTATACTCCAAATACAGAAGCAACTTTGATAGCATTTGGCCTTATTCATGTTGCGTTTTGAAATTCTATACATAGAATTAAATCACAATGACTGGATGTGTGTGGGAGTCAAATCAGCAGATCAGCACACATTGATCTCTTACCGGCTGTACTACACTATGGACTTTCATATCAAGAAGATGTAAGGTGTTACTTATTCTGCAGGAAGCTGCAACACTTATTTTTTGTGTACCTAAACTAGAGAGATTTGAACGGAGTGTAAAATATATTATGAATATGTGGCCAAATACAAATAAGTTGTGTTGGTCCCAGAGTTTTCCTTTAAATGCTGATTTCAATGGATTCTTTCCAGGACTGCAGGAAATATGCGAAAAAACTAAATAAAGTTGGGCTCCACTCCTCCTTAAGGTCCAAACTTCAGGAATAAAAGGGAATCATGACATGTCACACATGTCATGTGTCCTTAAGGGGTTAAATCTTTCTTTTAAATTATTAAATGTTTTCAATTATTTAACGTAGTAGCATTAAGTTTAACATAGGCTTTTGCTTTTTATCATGTATATATGTTTGAAAAGGAAGCTGCAAAACTACTGTACATGTGTTAAGGTTTCAGGGCCAGTGCTACCATAAGGCACAGGTGGCCGCCTTAGGGCATCAAAGCAGGAGGGCACATTTTTAAATGCCTGCAGTCTCACCTCACTTTCCCTGCTTCACGTAACACAAAATAAGTTAGTCCGCCTCTCCAGAAGTTGTTATGAGGGCTCTTCCACCATATTCCCAAAAAATAATTTTTAAAAAAATCACTGTTTGGTAGATATACCTCCAGTGAAAACATGCATGCATTTAATTATCAGTTTTTCATTGTGGGTATATCTAAAAACAGCTAAAGTTCTTATATATGCAGACTTTGCAAGCCCTCCCATTCTAACCCTGACCAGACTATCTGTGGCTGTCCAATCACAGACTTCCCAATGCAGCTCAATGAGAAATCTTTGCAAGCAGATGCTCTGGGCAATTGCTGCCTCTTGAGTTTAGATCCAATGAGCTTAGCAACCAGAAAGTAACAGGACCAGTTGTCTGCTTGAAACCAGGGAGGTGTAACCAGGTTTATTTATAAAAATGTAAATTTCTATTGAAGTTTGTACTTTTAACAAATATGAATAGAGGACATACTCTTCACACATAAAGTCTGTCAGCAAGCTAAAGAGTGCCCCTTTAACAATTTAACCCTCACTTGTACATTGTTACCGATTTTGTGAAAATACAAAATAAAAGGAAAGGATATCACAACACGAAACATGTCGGGAAATGGTGCATCCCATACCTGCGTTTCCTGCTCTTCCAGGATATTTGGTTAGCACCACTCAGCAAAGCATTTTTGTGCAGAGCTGCTTTGAGTGGTTGAGAGTGTTTATTTTTCTTGCTGTGCTCCTTTAATAAAATATTATTGTCCCCCCATACACTTAGTAATCAGTGATTTAGAATTATAGGATGCTTTTGTAGGAAGGTGTAAGATGTGCTTAATAGCAACTGATAGCACTTTATTTGCATTGGTGTGACTGGGCATGTAATGACGCAATAACTTAAAGGACCATGACCACTACAGCTTGTTACATTGATGCACAGGTTATGGTCCTATGAGTGCTCTAATGCCCATGTATTGTAAGTAGTCAAACAGTTTTGATGGTATTTGGGGTCCATTGGGTGCTGTTCCTTGCCTCCTCTACTAATACCAGAAAGCCGGAAGATCCTAAATAACAACCAATTCTCCAGCTTTAGTAGTGGAGGATAGGAGTAGCACCTAGTGGACAGCAAGTAAAAAGTTAAACTATTAAAAATTGACTATTTATGGGGGAAAGGGTGGGGGGTGTATGGACCCTCTATTGTACACTAAGCGTGTAATTATGATCTCAGCCAGAGGAGGAACAGCGGCTTTGGAGAAACTGATGCTGTGTTGGATATGGGAGTTAAACGGCTGAACTAACATTTGGCTATTCTATATTAAATTAGATTGTCACATTTTTGTATGCTTGAGGAAATCTACCTCCTTTCTAAACTGATAGCAATCTAGTGTTTTCTGTCACATCTCTAGAATATTTTGTCAAGAAACTGCAAAAGAAAATGTATGGGGTGGGGCTGGCTTTCCCTTGTCAGTGCGTGTGATGTGTGCTGGCTGCATGTAATGTATCTGGCGTGTGCTGGCTGCATGGAATTTGTGTGTGTTGGCTGTGTTTAATCCCTTAAGGACACATGACATGTGTGGCATGTCATGATTCCCTTTTATTCCAGAAGTTTGGTCCTTAAGGGGTTAATGTGTATGGTATGTCCTGGCTGTATGTTATGTGTGTTTTGTGCTGGCTGTATGTAATATGTTGGTTGTACTTAATGTGTGTGTGGTGTATGTTGCTGTATGTAATATTTGTGTTGGTTGTATATAATGTGCATTTGACGAGTGCTGACTGTATATAATGTCTGTGTGCTATGTACTGGCTGTATGTGGTATGTGTGTGCTAGCTGTATTTTTAAAGTAATGTGATTAAGATTTGTAGTCTTTATAATTTGAATGTTTTATGCATATATGGGTGTTGCTTAGAATATACACACATGTAATTATAATATAATATATGAATATTAATATACATGCATATATCCATAATACTCTGAACAATTTAAGTAAACATTTTTGAATTTGTTTAATCAAACCCCCTCCTCCTCCCCCCCCCACACACACACACCCACACAAACCCACACACACACACACATACTTTCGTTGCACTTACACTTTTTAGGAGCTGCAATCCAGTTCTAAATTAAGCGTCTGGGCGTTATGATCCCGCCAGGGCTGGACTGGCCCACCGGGATACCGGGAAATTTCCTGGTGAGCCGGTATACTATTGGGCCAGTGTGCAGCCACCTAGTGGGCCGCATTGCACTATTACAGGGTAACCGGTAGGAGGGGACACATTCCCCTCCTGCCGGTCACAGAATGTAGCGTGGCTGAGCAGGCAGACCGTGGGTAGAGGAGCTTCTGTTCCCCTTACGGGTCTCATGGAAGTGCTCACAGAGAGCACAGAACTGCTTCTTGTCAGACCGGGTACAGTGTGCAGGAACTCCTCCATCCACGATCTGCCTGCTCGGCCATGCTACAGCAAGGTACAAGGAGAGCTGGGGGGGGGAGCACTAATGGGACACATGGGGGCTGGGTGAACTAATGGGATACATGTAGACTGGGGGGGAACTAATAGAACACCTGGGGGGGCTAATTGGACACATTGGGGGCTGGGGGGAACTAATGGGACACATTGGACCTGGAAAG